TCAGTAATTGTTCGTTACGAAGCATTACTAAGAAACTTTAATTTATTTCCTGCGTGTCGTACTAGTTAGAGAGGCAGATATATCTTTTCTATCATAAAATTTACAGTTTTCTCTCTTCAAATCGTTCCAGAAAAGGAAACGTTTTTATAATAAATGTATGTAGTGTTGAGAAGTTCTCGAAATAAAGCGAAAAAGTTCTTATGTTTTCCTAAACAATGAGGAGTGACCGTTTAGATCTTGGAATGCAGCTTCCATTTTGTAAAATGCTGAACCCTTCACAATAAAGAAAGTTGTTTAGAACATTGAGAAAGTAAATTATAATCTGGAAGGCAGACTTTATTATGATCTTTCTGGATCAAAAGAAGTAGTTCGTCCATAAATAACCTATACCGTTGTTCGCCATACAGCATTCATAAAATGTGAAGTGCTGATCTTTATCCACAGTGTGAAATACACAACGGGGCGAGTCCGTGTACATAAAATGGTAGATTTGAAACTGGTACCCGTAATAGCCGAAGTACATGAACTAAGGCGTGAACTGTGCTGTCAGTTATCATTTCTGCTCTAGTCGGGGTAGAAAAGACCACACGTGCGCAAAGAATGAAGAGACCTGGTGTGTTAGCAGAAAGCCATCAGATAAGCGTATTAGATATGAGTTAAACGTTTCCCTTTTGGTAAACACGGTGGCCTATTTGACATTTCGTCAATCACGTTCAACACAGATACACACCGGTTATGGCACACTATAACCAGTAGACAGGATTGCACTAACGCTTGTATTTATATCAAATGCTTAACAACCATTTGCATGTGATGTTTGCCGGTGAAAGCTGTTGAAAAAGACTATCTTCGTAACTTCAGTTTATTCTTAATCACTTACTAGTTAACAGTCAATTGCTTGTACGTTCCATCAAATATAGTCCAGAAAAATCTTTTGCTAGCAAAAGATGCAATAAAAAATGTTCTTGATATGACCCATCGACATGTCATCATAGCATTGACCGTTTCCTTCACTCATTTATTTTTTTGTATGAATTAAACGTTATGTTATTCTTTGAAAAATAAATATTTTTGAATTATAATCCGTGTCTTTTTCTCTGTGGTATTGAATGCTCATCAAGAATTCAGCTTACGGAATTTTTCTTTACTATAATCACTCATAAACTTTGAAATATTCTATAAAAGCTATTCATTCCGTTGAAAACTGGAGGAAATGATGTTTGAGACACATTTTTCCAATATCACCTTTGGCTTCTAATTCCTAACAGCCTGTCCCGTACATGGTGCGTTTCAAGTTCCAGGTCATGGTAATTCTCAGTGTTACTTTTATTTAATTGACAGAATTAAAACTTCCGCTCCATTCTCATTTAAATTCACATGCTTGCTCTGTAAGGACGTTCTCATTGATAGCGCTGGTCTGTACTACTCTTGCCCGATTTCACCTTGGCTCGCAGCACCGAGTGTGAGACTGAATATTGATTTGGCGATCAAGACTCCCTACAATTCCACATGCTTATTCTGCATATGTTTGGATCATCTATATAAATATCACTTGATCGCTATAACTCACATGTTAACTGCCTTATTTCTGGATTGGCTCATGAGAGCGGATGAGAAATAGATTGATAAATTCACTTAGGAACAATGAAAAACCTGCCACAATGAGGACACTAAGATCCATGTTATTGCACTTGTTTGGTTTCTTATCAATGCATACATTTTGCTCCCAAGATTGGCCTCATATTCGGCGCGGTTTTATTATATGTAATGCTTGTGTAAAACAAGAATAAATAACAGATTACCAACCATTCTGAGAAATGTGTTTCAACATTTTGACTTGTATTTATCTTCTAAATTTATTGATTGAAACTATAAATGCTGACCAATGTTGACCAAATCTCAATTAAGGATCAAATGGGATGGTTTAGGGGTAGAAGGAATACCTAATTGATGAACCGACCGCTGATTAGGCTCTTTCATTTTGGATTAGTTTCGGTAATGTAAGTTCTAGAATTTATCTTTGTAAGCCTGTTCCTTTTCTTCTGACCACCCTCATCTTACCACTCTCATCAATTTTCATGACTTAATCGGAAAAGTAAAGTATATTATGGTGAAAGCAAAGTAACCCTAAAGCAAAGGAACACACATGAATGCCTCAATTAAAGTTGCCTCAAGTTGCATTTCTTGTGGGATAGTCAACATAATTTATTACACCGGGTTTGAGCATCAGACGGGCACCGTTAATTGCTCATTATGGTGATACCTAGGCACTTGGTGGCGTGTTTTCCGGGTATGGATACTTATAATCTATTCGGGTATTCCAGTCGATACTCTGATCGAGGAAGATTAAAACGCATTGGAAGCACTTGAACATTCGAATTAGAACCGGTTTTATCGGAAAATGTTTGCATTGGTGAAAAACGGCCGGAAAATAAAACTATACTAGTCTAGCCTATTTTCGCACGGCATACAATTACACCAGTGGTGTTCAGGTTCTTAACTTGAAGAAAAAGGGATAGTTAATGAGAAATTTTGAAAGTAAATATGGGGTAAGTGCATCATCATTGAAGGATTCTCGAATTATTAACTAACTGCTTTGAAATGGTTCATTTGTCTTTCGTCTTTTAAATTCTTCCTGATAAATTGACTTTAATTCATGAAAAAACATCCTGATGCAAATACTTGATGATAACGTTCGAGGAACAAGGGATCATGATACAAAGTTAGAAGCTGGTGACCAGTCAATGGAGATACATCGAGCAGAGTTTCAGGGATGAACTAAAACTTTACAGGTAGACTTCATTATTACAAGTGAAGCGTCCCAATTAAATCAAGTTGCCTTTAATGATAGTTAAAAGTGGTCCTTGGAAACAATAAGGACACTAAGGAAACACTATGAACTTATAAGGGTCAGAATCGCACGCTATTTTAGTTCAGACAAATAAAGGTTATTACATTTTGGAGGGATGCATTTGAATAGAAGAGACGAGAAGCATGTCGGAATGGAAGCAATCGTGAAAGGCGTCCAAGGATGATCAAATATTTATGAATAAAAATGTTTGTGATGGTCTTGGAAATCTCTGTAAGTGAACCAGCGGCAATCTTAAAGCATAGATGCGAGAAGATATGGACTAAAGGCAACCCTGGTTTTCGATGTAGTTTTAACAAAATGAACTTTCTTCTCATGGGGAACTGAGTTCGTTGTAGTCAAGCATTCGGAAGGATAAGAAGTCAGAAAATGGCCAAAAAATAGTGCATGTATCATTAAAGATTTCTACGTCAATAGTTTTACATGTTTTACTCTTTGTTTCTCAAAAACCCCTCCCATTTCTTAGACCCACGACTACCCTTTCGAGCACAGCAATTAGCCTCTTGAGTTGTTTTTTGATTTTCAAAGACAACTGGTTAACAGCTGTGAATTGAACGCCTACTCATTCCTCGTCTTACAATTGTTACTAAGACGTAACATAAAAAGAGAGTTTTAGCAGTAAAGTAAAAATCAAAACAGGATTCAGCGTCTTCAAAAACTGATTAGCAGAATAGAGGGATTGGTGAAAACGGGAATTTGGAAACGGGATTCAGAGAGAGAATTATGGACGAGACTTCCACTATCAGCAGAATTATTTCGAATATTTTGGGTATTGTTTCGTCTGAGTAAATTAGCGGCAGACCAGAATGGATTAAATTTTAACCCTAGTTCTGAAGAAGCAGTGGTCGCTGGTGGTGATAGGTGGCTTTAGTTGGAAAGAGAGGAGATATTGAGCGGGGGTGGGGTGGTCAGTAACCACTTTTTCTAACACAGGAAATTCTCTGGTGGGAGGTGGAGAGACGTCTGTCAGACCAAATGAAGGTTAGGTTAGGTCGATCCATGATTAATCCGGACAAGTGGCACAATTTGGTTATCATCAACAAGTAGAAGGATGAAGGAAACATATGCATTTCACAACGAGCTGACATTCAGTTTTATCCAAGAGCAGCTATATAAAAATTGGAATGTTTTGTTTTATCGAACTGGAAGAAATCTTGATTCATATATTATATAGTAAGGCGATCAATACTGCCAGAGGGATAGTCAAGGTTCAATGCTTGCTTCACCAGGTGAAGTTGATGTAGGTTAGTACTCCACCTCTGACTTCCCTCTTGCTTCCTACTCTTTCTTACCGATATTTCTCCTACACAAATATGGTTACCCGGGTATTCTTCAAGTTTCAGTTCATCCACATTTTCTGTGTGCATATCGCACACGCTCGGCAACACAGGACGGACAGTCGTTTTTTAGTCTTAGTGACGAAACTATGGGAAAAGAGCCGAGGGAACGCATAACAGGAACCACGAAATAATCTTCAGTGCAACCGCCAAACGAACGTGCTACACTTAGTCGAAGCTTGCTGGAATCTTTGAAATAATAAACGAAGGATAAATAGCTTTCAACCGTCTGAAAGACATGTACTCCATTTTATCTTGTCAATGTATTTCTTCCCAGATGTTGTTTGATTTATTCTCTCATTTAGTAACCATGAAGCCGTAGGGGCCTGTTTAGGTGAAAATCATCACATTTCATCCAACCCTTACTTTAGCAACCTCTTAATGAACACAACTTTTTTGGAGAAAATTGATGATGTGTCTTCAACTTTATGGACTCATTTTTGGGTTCCAATAAATGATACAAATAACAAGTTTGATTTGTTCACCCACACTGAACAGATCAAACTCTACCTAGCAAAATTCGATTCGGTTTTCGGACTGAACCGTCATGGTTAACAAAGTGATCGCAATCTGGTTCGGCTTCGTTAATAGTAATCAGGTTCAGTATAAACCATCTATCATTTCAGCAGTGAATATATCATGAATTGAACTAGATTGCATGTACTACCACGCAAGTAATGGTATGCTTACCATCACAGCACATCTACTGGTAATATGTGCTTTATTTTTGACAGGATCATCTATCTATGCTGATATCTCAGTACACATATGTTTGAGTGTCAATAAGGACTTACTTTCTGTCGGGTTGATATCTGGTAAGTACCACTGTCCGTGTGTGTTTTTCACAGTTTGAAGCAAGCCCGCGGGACTGTAAGGAGGCTGTAAAAAGCCTTGATGTGGTGATGCATTCGGAACACGAGGGTCCGCACTGGTCAGCTGTCTGGTTCGACGCGGTGATGTTTCCGCTGATGTCACGGACGTGGATGGGCCGGAATTTGATCCTGTCATTCCACGTGACGTAGAACTGCATTGATCCAGAGCTAGAGTTGAAGGCAACAGAAGTGGCGTTGACGTTACATAAAAAACGTTGTGCAATTGTGGGCGGGAAATCATTTTTGTGAAAAAGGGTAGTCTATCAATATACAAAGCTTCTATCGAGTTGACACGAGGGATTTTATGAATTCATAACCAAAAGAAGCCTTCTACTTGATAATGAAAGGCCATTTACTTCAATTTATCTCATGTGGAACGCAGACCCACTTGGTATTTAGTCAGAGGCTTGCGGCCAACTTGAAGTCGCAAAGAACAAACCGGAATACAGTAGAGTGGTATACATGTCACATGTTTGCTACCCTAAACTAACTATTTAGAAAAATAACTCATAGTGTGTCACGAATTTTAAAAATTCCCAAATGAAAAATTTCCTGAACAACACCTGTGTGATACGTAAAAAAACAAGCAGTATATGTCACCCCTAAACGCCTTTGTTATTTAGACCTTTCTGACCCAATTTTTGTACTCTAATAGGTACAAAGTGCAATTCAGAGCTGGTATAAAATAAGCCATAGGGTGTTTTTAGTTCCTCTGAATTTTGTTTCAAAACCAAACCGTTTGAGTACAGTGGCCAGGATGTGATAATTTTCGTCGCATATAAACACTATATATATATATATTAAATAAATATATTACTTCAGGCTGTGATCAATACACAAACCGTGAATTCTTTGAATTAACGCGAACTAATCCCAAGAAATGTTTAAATACGCTATGTAATAATATACTGACGAATCTTTTGAAGGATATTATCTCTCAATAGTTATGTCTGCAGGTTAAACAAAAGTAAGGACATGAGTTGAATTGAGCTCTAACAATGTTTAATTAAACATCTGATGAGCACACAATCACCAGTAACCAAATAGTACGCTGGTTTTATGGGTCAATAAAGGAATCCCTGTTCAATTCAAAAGTCTACTGTCTTCGGTTTTCAAGCAAATCGATGACTCGTCATCACCAGGTGGCCTAATCAATCATGAAGCTCTACTTTGTTCGCAAGTAACCAGATGCATGTGTGCGTGTGCAAGCGATATAATTAATGCATGAAATGGGTTCTTCGGTAATCAACATTACTTGAAGTGATGATTGGGTTTTGCGTTGTCTCAAATTCCGCGATTCGCCTCTACTCCATCACATCAAATTCAAGTCCATTAAATAGTTTTGCTTTTACCTAAACAAATCCATAAACCTTCTACTGACTGCTTCTGTATGCGGTAATGCTCAACTTTACCTAGCATAGTTTGTGAGCTGTCGAGATTCCGCATTCATGTTGTGAAAACCATCTAAAGTCCCTCCTGACAATCTGATTTGGGTCGGTCTGTAGTGCACAGCAGGAGTAAATAAATTGATAACAATCTCATTATGTAAAGTTTTCTGAACCAACTAGGAATGTTTGATCCATTTGTTCTTTGGCATTTTAACATTTTTCTGTCTGTGAAGTGGTTTATGAAATTGAAAACCGTTTGTGTTCTGACTTAAAAAAATGAAACATTCAAATGGTAATATTATTCTGCTTTCTTGAAACGTTTGACTGGGTGATACATTGAAAAATCAACACCTTATTCCCGCAACGTTTACTTTCGGTGCTCACAACTTACCGATAACCGTTGGTCTTACCCTGGGTGATCTTGGACTGAAATGCGAAGGGAATAAAATAACACTGAATGGGATTATTTTGCATTCTATCGGTGATTGGAATCATTCACAGAGCACTGGGTGTCCGCTCTCTGTGCCGCAGTCAGAGAAGGAAAAATCAGTTTTTTCTAGCACAAGGAAGGAAAATTGTTGGTGATCTATGTTGTTGGTTAGAAAAGCACCAGGTGATCGGTTTACAGGGAATGTGACTCAAGCCGGATGGAATTTTTATCTTCAGATGTTTGTTAATTCATTTAAGCTTTTCAGGCACCATTGCGTTCAGAAGAGTAAACTAAGTGGATGAAAACTGACTCCAGCATGTCCAGTTTGCATGGAAATTTGTCTAATAAAAGATAATCCAACCTCAAATTTACATCGGCGACAGTATTGATAAAAACAGAACAAAATAGAGTGTAAACCAGGCAACGGTATAGTGTGACGTTCGTGGAAAGATCACATCAAATTCACTAAGGCTCGCATTCACCAGAAACGCCGGTAACGTTTAGTGTTAAATGAATGTGTGGCTAATATGCAATTGAGCGTTATCCAGTTCTGGATGTACTTTCTAATCAAATGATAGTACTATCGTTTTGGTATATAATGCTATTTAGAACATATCATAAATCTCCCATTGTGATTTTCACGATGAATCTTACCAGCATCCCGGTCGAACATTACATAATGCTAAAACATTGCTGTTCGTTTGTTTCAAAGTCTGATGGAATCGAATGTAACAGCACAAAACACCAATCATGTGTTCATTTATCCCTTTGTATTTGGTCTCGGCTTGTATTGTTGACGATGCTTGATTTTTCCCTCAGTAATTATCTATGAGACCTGAATAGTATATTTTTTCATGCCGATTAAACCTTTTCATCCTTGACGGTGTTTTTCTGGAACCGTTGATATTACGTCGAACTTAAACAGTGAACTCAATCAGATCAAAGATTCATAAGTTTTGATAAAGTATAAGGTTTGTGTTACATGAGACGTTAGGTTATAGATATCCCTTGGTAAGTATTTCAACAATGAGCGATAAAAACGTTCAGCAAGGACAGTAGTAGTTGATGTGGTATCAAAGTGAATAAAAAAATTGAGCGAAACGTATGTAGATAACATGATTCAAGAAGGGAGAGAACGGTAGGAGCATACCGAGTTAGTAATAGTAAAAATAACTTAAATTTCAAATATAACAGTTATACTAAAGTGAGGAATAATATATGTTGGCTATGGTTTTGGGGCTCCCAATTCAAATGCCACAATTGGAGATAATCACCCCGCTTTACTGACAAGCCCTAAAAACACAAAATGTTGTCCACTGCTCTCTGCTAGTCAGTATAAAAATGATTCCTTCTTGATAAGATATATGCATACTGAATCGTGCAAATTACGGCGCCTTTGTTAAATTCAAGAGCATATTGCAGCTTTAGCAAAGGTCATTCTTTGAGTCATAGTTTACGGTAATTATGGTCATTCTTTGAATTTTTTTTGGCAAATAAAATTTTTCGTTCTTGATCTTCAAGGAGGAAATCACGTGAGTAACTAATGCGGTTAATCGATAGAGACTGTGAATAACATTGTTCTCTGGAATGAATGCTTTTGTGCTTTCACTCGTGAAACAATCATTATTTTAGTTTTTCCTCTCTCGCCGATAAGTGACTTCTGTGCATTAAGCTGTCCAATTCTCACAGAAGGTCACATGTGTTGGGAAATTTCCGTTACACCTTATCGCATCCAAACAAATAGCATTAGATCCATCGAGATCACGCAACCGCAGAAGTCAAATGGTTAACTCTACGTACAATGGACATTTGAATAAAGTGTCCAACGTACCATGAACCGAAAAATAATGAATGATTCATTTTTTAGGAAATACAAATGATTTAGAGTTATCAAGCCAGGTCAGTGGATGGCCAGATTAAGCAAACTTATTGTTTTTATTCTTATTGGTGTGACCCCATTGTGAAGTGAATTTGTTTTGTTTTGCCTCCTTAGCTCAAAATCTATCAAAGCTTAGGCAAACCGTTTGGAAGTAAATTAGTAGATATGCAGTATATTGCAGGTATTTGTCCAGGTATTAAAAGCGAAGCACAGATAATTGTTGAGAAGCCTCGGAAAGCTTCCTTCACTAGTAAAAGAATGACCTCAGTTTCTCTTGGTACATCCGTGGTAGAATACTTGAAGTCAAAGGACCTGTTGCATAAAATTTAACTACACGGGTTACCTTAAGTTTATTCCCCGCGGAAGTATTTACATAAAAAATATCTATTTAGAGTTAGTTTACATTGTTTTCATAATTACGCGCGTATTCCGATAAATAAATTTCCCGAAAACGCTCAGATCACTGAGTATTGATTACTCCGTTATGCGAATCAGACAAACTATATGTGATGTTTGTATGCTGCCGCTGAGACAGCTAGAGATCGTAGTTTTACTCCTAAATAAACCGTAACAACCAATTCTGTTTAAAACGCATGACGGTTGTTCCGATTTCTAAGAGATGCTAGAAAGCTCAAGCCGGTTACCCATATCACACGGTATGATGGCCAACCGTCCGATTAAGTTTTCCAAACAAGATATCAATCGAAAAGCACTGCGTAAATTTGCAAGTATGAATACAGGAATTGGGTAATTAAAAAGCATATAAAAATAACCAAAGATGTAAATCAATGGTCTATTTCATCATCTGTGTCCTGTCAAAGTTGAGTAATTTTAGACTGTTTCTTTGTACGTATAAATTATCACCGAAACTGGTCGAAATCAAAATGGGCTTTGGCGAACCTGCATTTGTAACTCGATTTTTTCACGATTTTAAGAATCCTTTTGTTGACAAAAGATATACATGTAACATGAATGTCGTTCATGAGAACATGGGGTCAGGTTACATACCAAGGATGATTGATCGCTTATAGAATGAAGATGAAGTAAACTTTCCTGATACTCAAGTTTGTGTGTGTGGAAAATATAATTTTTGAAGTACATTTGAATTTGTCGTCCTAAGACACAATTTTATCAACCAGCAGAAGATAATGAACTATTCGGCAACGATTGGTTTATGTTCCTTTAGATGAAGCATTATGGATTCTTTAAGTGAATTATATCTCAAATTTGTGGTAATAACGGTTGGCAATGGCACTCTTTAATTATAAATATAAATAAAAGACACCGTGTCTATTTGTGACCATCTACTGCTAACATAATAAACATATTATTACCGTAAACCATTACTGATAAATATTCGAATCCACACGAATAAAAATTGGCTTCCAGCAAGGTTTCACATAATATGCCCCCAGAGGTTTTGACTGTTAGTAATGAAC